CGAGGGGCTGACTCGCCGTGACACACACTGAAGCGCAGACACACACACAACCAGGTCAGCTACCAAGGCGGCTGCATTGACCTAACTGTGGGGGGCAGAGCAGGCGCCCGGCGTGTGGATCGGGGCCGCGGGAGGGGCACAGCGAGCGCTTTCGGAGAACACGCTCCCTTTCTCGGAAGTCACAGAAGTGAGACCGGGGCCGTTAGTGGCTTGGCTCAGCCAGCGACGCCTCCTCCCCTGGCATCAGGCAGCCAAACTTATCTAAGAAAAGAAACAATTCCTGCCAGAGGGCAGGCGTGGGAGCGGGGTGGGAATGACGCCCCAGGGAAGGTCTGTCAGCGGCAGCATAGAATGGGGGGACCCGCCCATCGAGGGGTGAAATGGTTCCCAGGCGGGGGAGGGGAGGAAGGGGGACAACTAGCGGTGCTAGAGGGGAGGGTGGGATGGGCAGGAAAACTTATCTAAGAAAAGAAACAATTCCTGCCAGAGGGCAGGCGTGGGAGCGGGGTGGGAATGACGCCCCAGGGAAGGTCTGTCAGCGGCAGCATAGAATGGGGGGACCCGCCCATCGAGGGGTGAAATGGTTCCCAGGCGGGGGAGGGGAGGAAGGGGGACAACTAGCGGTGCTAGAGGGGAGGGTGGGATGGGCAGGAAAGCCCTTTGACAGGGGTTTGAGGCAGGAGGAAGCCAGTCACGAGGACCCTGCTTGGGGACATGGGGACATGTTTCAGACGGGCTGGGCCCTGCCCTCCGGGTCTCGCTCCCCGCAGACGGAGAGATGGGCAGCCCATCGCTCGCCAGGGGCTAGACCCAGTTGGGCCTGTTCTGCGCGTGGCCTGGGCACCAGAAGCTCTCTGGATGCTGCTGGGTGCGCTGTGTCCCCCTCATGTGATCCCTCTCCTGTCATCCATTTCCAGAGGCCAGGGACACCATTCCTACCCATGCTGGCTAATAGCCATTGATGGATCTAACCTCCATGAATCTAACTAGCTCTTTATTGAACCCTGTTAACGTTCTAGCCTTCACTGCATCCTCTGGCAAGGAGTTCCACAGGTTGACTGTGCACCGAATCTGCAGAAACTGGGCAGCCATGAAGGGACACCTGGTATGGGCCATAGGCTGGGGCACCATGCACCTGTAATTTACTCCTTTCAGACCTTTCAGCAAAAGGGTAGGGCAGGTGAAGGGAACCAGTAAAACCAGACAGTTAGCCAGTACTTCAAGGATGGCAGAGATGGCCATGTTCACGTTAACTCGCTCCTTGCTGGCCTTAGGATACAAGGGTATCTCAAGTGTGTTCAAATGGGGCAGGGACAATGGTCTGGTGGACTGTCATGGGGCAGCAGGGAGACAGGCCCAGCGATGGTTATGGGCAATGTTCCCTCTTATTTTTTCCATCTGTGTGTGGAATAAATTTTTTGGTGCACCATGGCATGTGTGGATGTGCACCACCAGCAGACACACATGCTGGGTGGCAGCTGAATCTCACCTGGGCAGCTGCTAAGCACTCAGCTTACAGGGAACTCTGGTTGTGGGACAAGCGGACAAAGGGAGCGCTGAGGATGGCCTGGAGAAGAGGAGGGGCAGGGTGATGTGGTAGGGGACAAGGGCAGATAGGTGGGAAGTGAGACCCTTGCTGGAGACTCCTGGCAACAGACGATGGGGGGTCTTTTTAAAAACACAGGTGGACGGTTGTCTCTCTCTCTCCAGCCTGCGGTGCCAGGCCAGGAGGAGGCAGCTTTTCTCTGTGTAACGGGACTGTTAGTCCCTCACTAAAACTCTGTGGGAGTTTTTGGTTCGCCAGCTCCCAGTGTCAAAAGGGGAAGAGTCCAGGAGAAATCAGGGCCCTGAGACTGACAGACCCCAGAGACAATGGAAAGCAGCCAACACTCCAGCTGGGCCTGATTGACAGGTTGGACAGGCTGTGACGGACCGGGCCGTGTCTGGGCACAGCTCAGGGCGTCCGCTCAGGGCGAATTGCTCGAATCCGGGGCTCCTTACAGTCCCCCTGACTGGTGACCTCTCCAAACAGGCCACAAACCAGTCCCACAGAGCGCTTCAGCTGCCTGCCTGAAGCCTCCCGAGCAAAACCCCTCCGACACCCCAGCAATATCCGTGCCCCAGATGGCCCCGGGCCTATACACAGATGGGG